CTGGGCACCGCGCGCGCGCTCCGTCGCCCTGCAAACTCGAGAAGGGGTCAGGAGATCCGCACACTCTTCCTCGGACGTCCGCGCACGATCCCCCTTCCGACGCCCGAAACCCCGAGGTCCGCCACCCCCATGGCGCCATCCCCCCAAGCGCGCTTCGCTCTTCAGGCTTGGGGGCAAGGGAGGCCTGCCGCCACTGACAAACACCGGTCTCGGACGCACAAAGTACGGTCAGCACTCGCCCCTCCCCGCCCTTCAAACCCTTGCCCGGCTGAAGCTGCCGACGAAACGATCGTGAAGGCCATGTGGGACGGCCGCACCGAGGGGTACGCCTACATCTCGAAACTATAAATTTTAAACGCACGCCGATATAGCGCGCCCGAGGAGAGGGGGGAGGTCAAGGGAATGGGGGTATATGATGACGAGCAGAGGACTCAAAGACGATACCCTTCCTTCGGGGTGCAGGTCCGAGGTGGCTGGACTCTCGAGGAGCAGACACCAGAACTGGGGGCTCGAACCCTGGCGCGCACCGCTCGGCGCCCTGCCAATTTTACCGATGGCACGGAGATGCCGATCCCAAGGAAGGCTTGGACATGATGACGGTGCGACCTCCGCGGGAACGTGTGCGGGAACAGGTCGTCACCCAACTTGTGACGATAGGGGTCTGCGTTGCAAGAGGGCGGGTCGCCACCGAGTGGACCGAGTGGTTGACAGGGCAGGAGATTGGCAAGCGGCACAAGGTGGGCACTGATCAAGGGAGTGTCGCATGCGAATTACAATGTTCAATGTGCTTTGAAGGCGTTCCTGCCTGGCTCCGCCAGGGGACTGAGTAGGGCAGGGAGGAGGACAAAGCAAGGCTCAAACCCAAAGGGCGGTGGAAGCGAAAAGGCAAATACGTGCCCGCTCCAACCGCTCAATTCTCAGGTTCCCCCCCCAGAACAAAACAGATTGTCACACGCGACCGTAATCAATTAACGGCAAACGGGGAAGGCACTCATTGTCCTGGTGGCAAAATCCGCCGACCCAGTCGGCGTGTGTGAAAAGCCCTTCGACGCGAGGCCAGCCCAATCCAAACTGAAGCGCGCCCGCCTCCTTTGGATCGTCTTCGCAAGGGGAATCGAGGGAACAAACAAGATCGAACAATGTCGTCAGTAGGTCGGCAAGAAGCCTGGGGGCTCTCCTTGACGGAGGAGGAGGAGGAGGAGAAGGAGGAGGAGGAGGAGGAGGAGGAGGAAGAGGAGGAGGAAGAGGCCTCCCTGTGTCCGCTCCCGTTGGGGCTGGGGGGGGTCCACAGGGGGCGGCCCCCCCGGGGGGGGGTCCTGCAGGCATGGGGGGGGTCCCGGGAGGGAGCCCCAGAGGGGGGGGGGTGACCCCTCAGCGTTCGCCGCCCCGACGCCTGCTCCCGCGGAAACAAGCGGCGTTCCTCCTCCTCGTCCTCCTCCTCCTCATCCTGCTCCTCCTCCTGCTCCTCCTCCTCCGTCCTCCTCCTCCTGCTCCTGCTCCTGCTCTTCCTCCTGCTCCTCCTGTTCCTCCTCCTCTTCCTGCTCCTCCTGCTCCTCCTGCTCCTCCTGCTCCTCCTGCTACTCCTCCTCCACCTCCTCCTCCTCCTTTTCCTTTTCATCCTCCTCTACTCCTCCTCCTCCTCCTCCTCCCCCCCTCCTCCTCCTCCTCTCTCCTCCTCCTCCTCCTCCTCCCCTTGCTCTTGCTCCTCCTCCTCCTCCTCCTCCTCCTCCTCCTCCTCCTCCTCCTGTTCCTGCTGTTCCTCCTCCTCCTCCTCCTCGAAAGACCCACGGGCGCCAAAATTGGCCCCCCTCCCCCTTCGCCCAGGGGACCCGTGGGGACGCAGGGGGGGCTTTGAATTAAAAAGCGCGAGTTGCACCTAGGGCGGCAAATCAAAATCCGACACAACAGGAGAGGAGGAGGATGAGGATGAGGAGGAGGAGGAGGAGGAGAAGGAGGAGGAGGAGGAGGAGAAGGAGGAGACGGAGGAGGAGACGGAGGAGGATGGGGGGGGGAAGGGGGACGGGGGGCGGAAGCGTCTGCAGGGGTCGCGTTCGAGGTTGTAGTGGTAGTCTTAGTGATGGTCGCACTGGCGGTGGTCATGCTGGTTGTCGGTCGCGCTGGGTTGGTCGGTCGTGACGGTCGCGCTGGTGGTCGGTCTGGTAGCGGTGCTGGTGGTCGTGGTGGTCGTGGTGGTCGTGCTGCTGGTGGCGGCCACGCAGGTTGTCGATCCGATGGTGGTCGTGCTGGGATGGTCGTGCTGGTGGTCGGTCTGGCGGTGCGTCTGGTGGTCGTGGTGGTCATGCCGCTGGTGGCAGCTACGCAAGTTGTCGATGTGCTGGTCGTCGCGCCGGTGGGCATGTTCGTAGTAGCCGAGGTGGTCGTGGTGGTGGCCGCGGGGGTTGTGTCGGTGGTGGCCGTGCTGGGGGTCGTGGCGGCGGGCGCAGCGCGGGCCGCTTAGCAGGCACTGAGGATCATCTCAGCGCTGCCCACCACCACCAACGTGCGCTGGATGCGGCGCCACGCGGTGGCGATGACCGCCGACCGCTCCGCTTCGGGCAGGTCTGTGCCGTACGAGCGAACGAATGAGTCGAGTTCGTCCGCTGGCCGCCCCCCCGTCTCCACGACGGCTGGCACCAGCCCGCCACCCGAGGGGGGATAGCGATTCCGCTTGACACACACCGCCTGCGACGCGGCCAGCCCGTCGATGTTGGATCGTGCCCACCTGCGCTCGAGGTTGTCCGAGTGTGCGCGGATGACAGACCAATCGACGTAGACAGGCTGTCTGGTGGCCGCGTCGCGGGTAGCCACGTCCAGGCGTCATCCTCCTCCTCCTCCTCCTGCTCCTCCTATTAACGCTAGACCGACCTTAGTGTGAAGCTGTTGCGTTCTTCCTCCTCCTCCTGCTCCCCCTCCTCCCCCTCCTCCTGCTCCTCCTCCGTATCCTCCCCCTCCTCCTCCGTATCCTCCTTATTGTCCCTATCCTCCCCATCCTTCCTATTCCCCCTATCGTCCCTATCCTCCCTATACTCCTCCTCTTCCTCCTCTTCTTCCTCCTCGACGCTCGAAAGCTTGGGGAGGCTCCGGCATCAGCTGGTTTGACGCGCCATTCGCTCCCCGCTCTCTCTCCCTCCCCCGCCACTCGTTCGAACGCGCGCGCAGAAACAGCGCGCCCTCCGCAAAGACGTGGAGTTCGACGACGCTCACGGTTGCCACCGCACCGCCGCATGGATGCGAGCGCGCAGCTGGAACCTCGAATGCGCGTTCAACGTCGGCGCGCGCGCGTCGCGCGCCAGCCGCGCCGCGGGTCGCCGCCCGCTGCGACGGGACAGGGCCGAAGAAACTCATGAAGGGGCCCCAGGACACGCAAATAAATACACACAAATAAAAACACGCCCTATATTTTCATACATTTTTGGGGTTTTTGTCTTCCCCCCCACTTCCCATATTTTTGCACATTTTCCTGAGAATCGGCGATTAATTGTGTCTGTGTGTTTTTTCCCCTCCTGAACTCTGGGTGCGCAGCCGAAGCGCGCACGATTGTCGCCGGCTGCCGCGGCGCCGGAAACGCTCCGCGCGGACGCGGCCGCGCGGAGGTTGTCGACGACTTCCAGAGGCGAAGCGTGCCCAGCGCGCAGGCGACGTCACCTAGCTTCACGCGCCGCGGCGTCGGAGGCGCGGCGCCGATTCGTCATTCCAACTCTGAAGGGGCCCTGGGACACACAAATAAGTGCACACAAATCAAAGGCAGCAGCGTGGAATAGGGATTCCCCGCTGCAATGTCCCGGCGGAGAACCGCGGGCCACGCGGGGGCTCGTCGTCGGGCCATCCGCCAGTGGCTCCTCCTTCTTCTCCTTGTCGTCCCCCGCCCCCTGCCCCCCCCCCAGCCCATCCCCCTGCTGTTGCTCAGTCTTCCTCCTCGCCCTCGTCGTCGTCGTCGTCCTGGTCGTCGTCGTCGTCGTCGTCGTCGTCGTCCCCCTCCTCCTCGGCATCCATTTCCACCCCCTCATTGTCCTCCTCCTCCTCCTCCTCCGCCTCCTCCTCGGCATCCGTCTCCTCCTCCTCATTGTCCTCCTCCCCCTCCTCACCATCCTCCTCCTCCTCCCCCTCCACTTCCTTCCTCCTCGCCATCCTCGTCCTCGCACTAAGGCGCCTACGCGCCACCTTCCGCGGGCAGCTTACGCACAAGTGCACGCGCAATCGACCCCCTTGAAACCCTGCGGGTGCGCCCTCCCGCGGGCGCTTTGAAATGTGTCGCCCGGTTGCGGTTGCGGTTGCGCCCTCCCGCGGGCGGGTTGAAATGTGTCGCCCGGTTGCGGTTGCGGTTGCGCCCTCCCGCGGGCGGGGTGAAATGTGTCGCCCGGTTGCGGTTGCGGTTGTGCCCGCGGGCGCTTTGAAATGTGTTTGAAATGTGTCGCCCGGTTGCGGTTGCGCGGTTGCGCCCTCCCGCGGGCGGGTTGAAATGTGTCGCCCGGTTGCGGTTGCGGTTGCGCGCCCGCGGGCGCTTTGAAATGTGTCGCCCGGTTGCGGTTGCGGTTGCGCGCTCCCGCGGGCGCTTTGAAATGTGTCGCCCGGTTGCGGTTGCGGTTGCGCGCTCCCGCGGGCGCTTTGAAATGTGTCGCCCGGTTGCGGTTGCGGTTGCGGTTGCGCGCTCCCGCGGGCGCTTTGAAATGTGTCGCCCGGTTGCGGTTGCGGTTGCGCGCCCGCGGGCGCTTTGAAATGTGTCGCCCGGTTGCGGTTGCGGTTACGGTTGCGCGCTCGGGTTGCGCTCCCGCGGGCGGTTTGAAATGTGTCTCCCGAGCTGTCCCCTGACGTTCAGTCAGTCAGTCATCAGTCAGCCGGCGGGCACGGAATTTCACCCGGCTCCGCCGGGAATAACAGGATTCCCCATCTTTTCCCAATGTTCTGGGTTTTTGTCTCCCCCCCACTTCCCATATTTTCCCATCTTTTCTGGGGAATCGACGATTAATTGTGTCTGTGTGTTTCTTTCCCTCCTGAAACTA